AGTATATATCAGTATACTCTGCTCTTATTTAATGTATTATCTCTTATATATAATATATATATATTATATATAATATATATATAAGTATATTAAGTATACTCTCTCCTTATTATGAAATATATGTGGTATGAATATAAGTTTATGTGTGTGGTGTAGTGGTGGTCCATGTGTGTGTGTGTTTATGTATCATACAATTGTTTATTAATTACTAGTAAGTACTTTCAATTTGTTTATGTATACATATAATGTATAATGTGTGTCAGTGTGTGTGTATATATATATACATATACATATATTAAATGACATGAATACTTTGGGCTACTTAGTATATAAGTATATATAAATATAAGTATATTCTCTCTTATATATGTTATTATATTCTTATATATAATCTATATATATGTATAAGTATGCTTAATATGTTACAGTGTATACAATCTCTCCTTATGTATATATTTATATCCTCTCGTCTTAGTATATATCAAGCTATACTATACAATATATAACATATTATATATATATAATAATATATATATATATCATATATAATATCATATATATAATATATATTAATATTAATATATATATTATATATATATAAAACATAAAGCTTATATGTACGATATATAAGTATATTTATATTAATAGTATAAATACATATAAGAGTATAATATATATTTATATAGTTTATACATATATATAAACATAAACTTATATTGTACATATATAATTTATATTTATAAAAGGTAATAAATATATATATATATATACTATATATATATATATATATATATCATATATATATATATATATATATATATATATATATATATATATATATATATACTATTATAATAAATTTATAATTTTTATGTAATTTTTATGTTTTTATGTTTTTTTTGAAATTTAAAAAAAATAAAAAAAATCTGGGCCGACCCGGAGCCCGGCCCGGGGGGCCCGGGTCCGGGCTCCGGTTTTGCCCGGCCCGGGCCCGGATTTCCGGCCCGGGCTGGCCCGGATGGACAGGCCTACGTGCAATGCACGTGGTTAAATATTATGAGTAGGTATTTTTGGTTTATTTTCTTACTAAAATTTGTTCCTCGGTTACTCTTTGATTATTTATTTATTTGATGTTTGTTAGAATATGCTACACCCAGTTTAAAATTTTATGTTGATCAAGAGATAAATATAATCTAAAGCCAATTTAAATTTTCATTCATTTGGATCGACATGAAACCGAGCTTAACCTGAGGAAGTATAGTGTTATGAAAGTGAAAACACTTAACATTATAAAAGAAAGATGAATAATAAAGCCAACGAGCCAATATGATTAATTTAAAGTAGGCTAAAATAACAGAAAATATTTAATGAAAAAAATCATAAATTAACATCATCGGCGATTCTATAACATTTATCATCTAGACACTTATTATTAATATCTCTATCTACTTTCTTGTTGCAGCCTTTGCAAACGTAGAACCACTGCTTAACTCTATTATAAATAGTAATTATCGTTGCCTTAAAGGTGCGATATTGTGTCTGCATATTGGTAAATTATTCTTAGGTTTAATTGTATGAATTTTAGAGTAGATTTTCTGAGATCATACCTCTTTCAAATGCTATAATGGTTGTATATATTAGTAATTTAAATTTCTACTGTATTTATAAAGAGTCTTAATGGAGATGCTTTTGTCTTAGCAGCTTACTCTAAAAGAGCGTAGCATATTAGCTTTAAAATGTAATAATTTTTTTCTTTACGGTGTTATATGGATGTTTGTTTGGTTTACTTACTATTCTCTTACTTGTTTAGTAAGTTGTATCTTTAGATTGATATATATTATTGACATAATTTACGATGACATGCATATCTCCTCTATATATTTGAGACATATATATGGTGAATTTTGTATTTAGCGGCCTTTAACAAGAATTTTAGTAATAAAATATACTACCTTCATATTTAGAGATCTTGAATTCTAATAGTGTTATTACATTGTTATTTTTGATCATGTCTTTAAGAATTGATCCTTCGTTAGTAGTCATATCCCTAAAGTCACATGCAGGGTCGTGATACTATGACAGATATAAGGTGAATTTTATATTTAGTGGTCTTTAGTAAGAATTTAGTAATGAAATATACTACCTTCATATTTAGAGATCTTGAATTCTAATAGTGTTATTACATCGTTATATTTGATCATGTCTTTAAGAATTGATCCTTCGTTAGTAGTCATACCCCTAAATAAAGTCACACACAGGGTCATGATACTATATAAGAAAAATAATAATGATTTTATATTTACGCAGAGTCATGACATAGTACTTTTTCTTTTATCTTTCATGAAGAATGTTTCTTTGATTGGAACAAAGTTGTTCAATATATTCTTCAAGGGGTATTCAATTGGTGTTTCTTTGATAAATATAACTTATGTTAGTGTTAGTTGAAGTGATTCATGGATGTTCCAAATTCCATTTGAAATGAAACCCGCTTAATTCTTTTGAAGGATATTTCTAATTTTTCTAATAGTTCTCCATATATACATAAATCTTTATTATTTTTTTACCCTATAAATATTACTACCATTAGAGATCAATATTTATAAATTATAATCAATTAATGTTAAGCTATTATATTATAGTCTTTTATTAGTTTTTTGCGATTTTGCCATCTATCAATTAATGATACTTATGTATTTTTGTTGCTCTAACATATTGGTAAAATTATATGCAGTTACTTTTTTTGTTGCTCTAACATATTGGTAAAATTATATGCAGTTACTTTAATTTATACAATAACATTAATTTTAATCTATCATATATTTTTTAATTTTTATTCTTTAACTGGAGATTTTTAATCTGTTATTATTACCAATTTTTTACCAGTATCAACTTGACTATTTTTAGATTTTGAAAATGGATAGTAAAACTTAAATTATAAGTTATATTTATATATCTTAATGAAAAAATATCACACAATTACTCTTTTCTTTGTCAAGTTCTAAATTTTAGTTTTTTATTTAGTGTAATTTTAAACTTGTGAGAGTATTTTGTCTAATTTTTAAATCTTTTTGCTTTTTTTGTAATACTTCACGTAATAAACTAATACTACGGAGCTGTTTCATATATTTTATTAATCTTATTTAAACCGTTGAGGTATAGATAGTTCATGGGATATTAGGATAGGATACAAGTATGATTAGGATAGATTATAATTTAAATTAAATATTTAAAATAGTACATGATAATTTTGAGTATGGAAATATTTTCCCGAACTCATGCTTTTAAAGGGAGTATGATTTTTGTTTTCCTTAATTTTTTTATAATTTTGAGAATGTCTTTTGTCTCTTTAATTTATTTGGTGGATTTTATAAATATCTCATCCACATTATGTATATTTGTAGGTCTACGTTGTTCCCGGCTTCGACCTTTGGGTAGACATTATTTGTCTCATTAATTTATTTAGTTTTTGCATATACGTTCTTCATTTTGTAGACATTTGTAAATTTGGCATTTAATAATTTTATTTAGATTTACATTTTAATTTTAACAGTATCATTATCTTCATACTATGCATATCTAATAAGGATTAATCAATTTATCAACCTCTTACTTAATGAAATAATATTTAAATTTTAAGGGTATTTTTATTTACCAAAAGATTTTCTCGAACTCGTGCTTTTAAAGGGAGTATGATTTTTAAAATTTTTTGTTTTTTTTGTAATACTTAATGTAATAAACTGATACTACGGAGCTATTTCATATATTTTATTAATCTTATTTAAATTGTTGAGCTCTAGATAGTTCATGGGGTATTAGGATAGGATATAAGTATGATTCGAATAGATTATAATTTAAATTAAATATTTAAAATAGTACATGATAATTTTGACTATGGAAATCTTTTCCCAAACTCGTGCTTTTAATGGGAAATATGATTTTTGTTAATTTTGAGAATGACTTTTGTCTCTTTAATTTGTTTGGTGGATTTTATAAATATCGCATCCATATTATGTACATTTGTAGGTCTACGTTGTTCCCGGGTTCGACCTTTGGGGTAGACATTATTTATCTTATTAATTTATTTAGTTTCTGCATATACGCCATTCATTCTGTAGACATTTGTAAATTTGGTATTTAATAATTTTATTTAGATTTACATTTTAATTTAAACTGTATCCTTATCTTCATACCATGTATATCTAATAAGAATTCATCAATTTATCAACTTACTCCTACTTAATGGAATAATATTTGAATTTCGAGGGTATTTTTGTCTTCCGAAATATTTTTCCGAACTCGTGCTTTTATAGAGAGTAAATGATATATATTATATATATATATATATAGTATATATAGTAATACTATATATATATATATATATATATATGATATATATATATATATATTGATATGAATATGATTTATATAAAATAATCAAACTTCATATTATGCATCGGAAACAATTGTAAGATAAGAGAAACCGTATATTAGTGCATCAGTCAACAATAACATGCCGAAAAGTAGAAGGCAAAAGAAGCAGGTAGAAGATCAAAACTAATATCATATAGTACAAAGAAGAGAGAACATCATACATAAGAAAATCTATATACAAATCTGATAATGGAAAAAAGGGTTAATCGATCAATTAAGCAAATTTGTAGGTATATTTGCTTAATTCAAGTGTAGTTGGATCCCAATGTCGTTCTAATTGCATCTGATTGTCAAAAGTCTTATTTAGTTAGATGTTGTTCCAAGAAAAATAAAAAGGATTAGACAATCATCCAAATTTGTAATGTAAAACACCATGATGTTACCAAATCATTTGTTGCTCTAAACCGCTGTTGTCAGGTGGATCTGGATCAATTAGATTCTGGGGAGCCCACCTAGATAATGAGGCCTTGGTACGGCAGACAACCGGCCTAATCTCAGACAGGCCCAAGCCCAAAATAAATCTGGACTCTTACAATTCATATCCCATTAAAAACCTCCCTCTTCAAAAACCCCAAAACCCTACTGAAAAGCCTCGTTCTCCCTCGCCCGCTCTCTTCTCGTCATCCCTCATGGCGTCCTCAGAACCCAAACCCTCAAAATCTCGCAGCAAAGACAAACGAAAACGGCCCCAGCTCCATCAACAAGACGAAACCCTAGATCAACAGCAAGCCTCAGCCCCCAAGAAGGCCAAATCCAGCTCGCCGTGGGCCAATCTCGACCTGATCCTATCTCTCCAGCGCAACGATCTCGACATCCAAAGGTCCCTCCTTTTTTCCCCCTGCAATCCAATTTAGTACCGTACATCCCTTTTATCTTCTGATTTGGGGTTTGATGCAGGAAGGTCGAACTCGCATCTGAGTTCATTAGCTCAGATGTTGGTATCAGCGATGCTAGGCGGCAGCCTGTATCGGTCTCTCGGTTAGCCTCTTTTCTTACTGATTGGATTCAGCCGTTGTTGATTCCCCGAGAGAAAAGCTCGGGTCTTTGCGTGCATTGTCTAGATTGTAGGTGCTGGGCTGTTCTTAGATTTTGTTTGAAGAATTCGCAGTTTGCAGTCTCCCTAAACCTTCTTAAATCTGCTGCCCAAGTCTTTAAGTATAGTGAGGGTTCGGCTGATGGGAAAAGATTGTTTGAGAGTGTACTAGAGTGCTTCGAGTTGATACTCTCGGCTAACCCTAGAGCTTTCTATAATGCCAGCATGGATTTGTGGAGACCTTGCGTGGTTGAGATTGTTGGTTCTGTTCATAGATGTTCGGGTAATGGTGATCACGATGTGGTCTTAAGATTGGCGCACCTTCTTCTTGGGCATTTTGTGAACTTCCTAAGGTTTCATAAGGATCCTACAAATATTTTTAGTAAGTTTGTAGATGGTCTACTTGAACCCTTGTTGGAATTGTTGGTTCTATTGCACTTGAGAACTAAAGGCGGCGTATGCGGTCAATTTGGGAGCTTGTTGAGGTTGGTGGAGGATGTCTTATCAAATGGCTTATTTCATCCTACCAATATTGGTGGTTTTTTTAGCTTAAAGAGTTCGATCGCAGAGCAAAAGACTTGGACGCCTAAGGGACACAGGGAATTCTTTAAGAAGTTAGGAAATATTATAACAGATAAGAAAGCAATGGTATTGCGGGGTTTTGGATATTTGTTCCGTTTATTTATTACAAGTACTAAGAGTCAAAAAGGAGTTTCTTTGGCAGCAAAAAGTGATCAAGCCTTGGCAAAAAATAGTGAGACCTCGGATGAACGTAAAGAAACAAGTAAACCGTTGTTTGAAGTTTTTGTACAGTTTATGCAACCTCTTGTGCTTGAATGTAAAAGATGTTCAGAAAGGGAGCTCTCAAAGTACGAAGAAGGCTTAGAAGATAGGCTTCTTGAAGCTCATGGCATGCTTAAGTCATTGAATGAGACGCTAGTAAGTTTTATCCAAGAGAAAATATATATACGCACAGAGGATACATCTGATGGAGGTCATTATAATTTTTTGAAAGAGGTGTATGGAACAATTGTCTTGATCTCGGGGAAAATATACCAGCTATGGTTGTCGACACTGGATATGGATGGTGGTAGAGTGAAAAAGATGCTACCCTTGGTGGCTAGAGAGGTGGTTGTAGCCGTGGGATACTTTTTGGAGATTGAATATAAGGTTGTTGAAGATGATCTAGTGAAATTATGGGTCATGATGGTCTCTTTCTTAGCTGTGTATCTATCAGTTGAAGATACACAACCCTCTTCGCCACTAACCTCAGATATTCTGAATCTTGGATACAGACTGATTAACATCTACAGCGAGCTTCGTCAGGTTAGCGATGTATTCTCTTACAATTCTATGGATGGACTTCCTTATTCCTCAAGTTTAATAGTTGTTATTTCCATAAAAGACATTGGAGTAGGCACTTCCCAATGTAAATAGGTATCATTGTTGTGCTTTCTAATACCTCGCACTAGTAGTTGTACAGTTCATCCCGCTATTGTTATGAGGACATTGCCATTGGTAACATATTCTAGTTGAAGTTCTAAAGCCTGTTACTTATTTTATCAATTCCATTACATGGGCATCATATAAGTGCTGTTACCAAATTGCACATTTTTTTTGAAGGAGAACACTTTTAAATAAGTCTTTATGCTAGCAAAAATGCCATCAATTTAATGCCACAACTAGATAAGAGAGAATGCAGACAAATCATGGCACGTGACTCAGTTAGTTACATTTATGTCATGTTAGCAAACAAATCACGTGCCTTGAACATGAGTTTTGAAGGGCATTTTTGGGTTTTCAATGAAAAGTTGACTAGGTGGTGGGTGGTGGTTGATTGCACTAAAATTTTCTTTAAAGGTGATTTATGTATTATTTAAAATTCAAAGATGGTTTCTATAAAATGATCCTATGTTAAAGGTGGTTTCTAGTAAAAAACCCTTATATAAATGCAATAGTAAACTAAAGTGATCTTAGTGATGCTAGTTCTACATCATAGAGACACTTTCTACAATTTAGTGCTAAAATGTATTTACAATTTAAAAAGAGAAATCATCATGGAACAAGTTATTAAATTGCATAATAAAATATTAAAACAAATCCTTGTTTGTACACTAAATCGTTCAGTTTTGTATATGATTTATACTAATTTTGTCTGATATTTTGATCCATTAGAAATTATGATCAATTAAGATTCTCAATTCTTACCCGAATCAATTTAATTTAGCTAATGCCAGAGTAACATTCTAATAGGACTTGAAGAGTGAAGACCATGTGGCATGCTACCATTTCTTTTCAACACCATAGTTTCACATAACTTCTTCAAGAGATATATGTTGCATATAATCAAATGATAATATCTCTTATGACTTGAGCACTGTTTTAAAAATAGGTCGATTTTATCGATTTATCGCCGATATATAGGGTTTGAGCCATGGACGATACATTTTTTGCAAAAATTAATCGCATATCATTTTTGGCCGATTTGTCCCGATATATCAGTGTAAATTTGATAAAGTTACTGATTTCTCATGGGTTAAAAATTATCCGATTTTCTACAATTTACACTATAATTGGACCAGTTCGGCTTTGGAGACAAAAACCCTACTTTTTTCATACTTGACCCGCATCTACTAAACAAAAACCAAGTTATCCTATTCTATTTCACATCCGCTCATTATGTAACCTTAATTCTCTCCGCCTCCATTGTTCTCTCCCCTAAAATCACTCGCAAATTTCTCACTCGAAGGCCTCTTTTGATGACCTCTCTTGAAGACCCTCTCTTGATATTGTATTAAATATATTTAGATTATATTTTATGACATCATATTATATATGCTCACCATCGAATATGACACTCCGATTTTTATTACTTATCCCCGATGTATCCCCGATAATTGGGATCTTATATGAATTTTGTCCGTTTGATATATTTTTGATAACCGATATTTAAAAGCTTAGACTTAAGTGTTGTTTGGTAAAGGGAATAATGGGACAACAATTATAATAAGTACACTTGTTTAGCTAAACAAAAGGTTGATGCGAAAGTAAGTTTATTCATACATTCTAGTAAGATGTCCTTCAATACAATAATTATACATATTTTTAGGTTTTTATGATTTCTGTGGACTTGGTATTTACGTTTGTTAACAGTGTTGTAAATAGCGGCCAATAACGGGGCTATAGCTGGGCGAATAGCGGTCGCGGCCCTTCAGCGCTACGCGTAGGGGTTTCGCGGCTGAGATTAGCGGGAAAAACCGCTATGCACTCGAATAGTGCTTAAAAGCGGATAAAAGCGGATAAAAGCGGCTAAACCCGCTAAACCCGCTATTAAATGCATATGATTTTACCCCCGCAAGATGGGTCTCCTGGTCAGCTCCCCATGGGGAGAGAGATTCTCCCAGGCTTCGTGCCCGTTGGTCAGGAGATCGAATCCTTGTTGCTACTTGGTCAGTAGCGGCTCGACCCGCTGCGCCCATGTGCTGGGGATGAGCCCCCTGGTACTTAAGGGGTAGCTCCTTGCGGATTGTTGGGGACTGGGATGATTCGAACCGGGGTGCGGCGGACTCCAAAGGGAGTTTAAGTGAAGGTACTGACCAATGTCCCCTTGTCAAAAAAATAAAAAATGCATATGATTTTTTCGCCTCGACTTTCGACCCGAACCCGAACCCGACTTGTTAAATGCGGATAAAAGTGGCCACGACGAATCTCTCTCTCCCACTCCCGAGCCCTAATCCCTCTCTCCCACTCCCGAACCCTAATCTCGCTCTCCCACTCCTGTCATTTTCTCCGCTCCAGGCTCCTCAACTCCGCTCGACCTCTCCACGACTTCATCATCTCCGCAGCTCCGCTCCACCTCGTCGCGACTTTATCATCTCCGCAGCTCCTCTCCAGCCTCCAGCGAACAACTCTGCTCTAGGCTCCAGCGAACAGTCCCCCTCGAAGCTCCAGCCTCCTTCTGCCGATTGCAGAGCTTCAGTTACTGTCGCTCCAGCTCGAGCCAGGACAGCCGCTCCGACTTCCGACTTCCTTCTCCATCTCTGTTGGTTAGATCTGCAACAGAGAAAAAGGTATAAAATCTCCTCTAAACCTTCTCATAGTTTCCCTGTCTTCCCTTTCAATGAAGTACAATTTCATCTTTTTTATCCTATTCGCTATCTGATATTTTCATAAACTGATTTTTCCGTATTGTCAGTGGTTGATATATTGTTGATCTTTGAACTTGCACTAATAAGCGTAACTAATAGGAGGCTTCTTTTATGGATATTTTTATATGATTTTTCTTATTATTTAGAATATTTAAATATATTTATATTTGGTTGCTATTTGACTGTACGCTATTTGCCGCTATTTTGTCGCAATAGCCCACAATAGTCTAAGCGGTACCTCGCCGCGACGCGACGCGATCCGCTATCAACAACCTTGTATCCTATTGTTAGCTTCTAAGTAGTTAGGTAGACAACAATTGAAGACAATTATTAAAGTAAAGACTTTTTCTTTTCTCCAACAAGAAATCTCCTTAAATGCTCTATTACCACTTTACTCCCATGTTAACATTTGTGGTTTGTCCCACTGATTTGGACTCATTATTCTACCAATTACAGCGTACAGTGTACATTATAATCATACTCTAATTAAGTGGTTACTTTGTCATTGACAATGCCTAATAATAATGGCCCCTCTCTGGCAGAATAACTTTTGAATACGAACCGGAGAATAGGTAACTTAGTATTAACTATGCCGAAAGCTATGTCATTCTCATGTGCAAGTTTCAACAGCCGACGTAGAGTCAACATCACTCGCTGAGACATATCATAGAAGAAGCTTACAATCTCCGTGCTAGAGAAGATTATGGTCAGTTTGCTATTTCTTTATGCATTAGATAGGCATTGTAATCAATACTTGACATCTGTTCCTTCATGTATTATTAGAATACTCATCATTAAGTTAGGGAGATCGTAGATCCTCGGCAAAATAAGCAGATGTTTCAGGTTTAAGAATTTTGATTCGTTTGCTACTGCTGCCTTTGCTTACTCTACTTGACTTCACTTCTTAAATGCAAACCTCGTGTTGAATACATTCCTCTTTTTGTAGAGTGCCAACAACATAGCATAACCAATGAATACACTAATATTCGGCTCGGCTATGCGATTGTATACTTAGACATCGCTTCACACCTGCTTAATTACTCTCCTCTCCCCTTT